TCAAATTTCCTCCGTGCTGAACATCGTTTGACGAAACCACAATACCATGTAGATAGATGTTGTAAAGCAAATGTATGAAAAGAACTCGCTTTTACTGAGGTTTGGTTGGATTCGAATGAGTGTAAAATAACTTCTCTCACATAACTTCTTCTCATCACACGGTGACCGTACATTTGAACCCACGTACATTTGAACACATGTGTATCTCCACGGGTTCTATCTATATGCGGGTGCTAAAACCCATGGGTTAGGGTTAGTGTGGGTTCAACTATCCGAAAAACAAAAAAAATTCCATAGGTGCAATAGCATACAGGTGCAATTGCCATGGGTTCAAATGTACGTGGGTTCAAATGTAATGGAACCATATCACACAATATTCCCGTTGAATATTCCCGTTGCCGTTGAATATGCATACGTCGTCACAGTGCATTATTTCCAGCAGAACGATATAATTTCCGATACCACACATGATCTCTGCTATACCAAACAATCCTGCAAGAATGAGAGTGACATTCATAATGACTGGTGGATTCGACGCCTTCAAAACGTCTCTCAAGCTTCGGATCTTTCTTTTGTATAAGCCTTTGACCGTAACTGGTCGTATCGTTACCTCCCAGTCATACCGAAAACTTTTGTTTCACTTATTTTGTTATTATTATATTTTATATTATGTGTTTTCTGGTTGACGAAATAATAAATTCTCTCTCTCTCTCTTTCCGTATGAATATAACAATTTGGTGAATAGTGATGTAGACCATCAATGGAGCCAATATCGAATCAATGCAGAGAAAAGGAATCGGCGATTTAAGTGCAACTGCCATCAGGTTAATGTGTTCCGTAGTTCAGGACCTTGGCGATTGAATCTATAAAAAATAATATTATTACTTATTATACTGGGGTGGCCTTAGTTATTTCGACGCCCTATCCGAAATGAATCGCGCGGCGCCTACTCTGATGAGAGATGAAAATATTGACTGAAAATTAGGATTTAACAATGTAAATTAATTCGTCTTTACATTTTATCCAAATACAAAATTATGATTAAGGTAACTTGGAGCGTGACGGTCACTAAGTATATCGCCAGGCTAATAACCGAATTGCGTAAGACATTTTTGGCGGTTTTGAGTTTTTTTATGAAATAGTTATTTATGCAATGCTGCTTATGTACACTACACTACATCATAGAAACGTGCGCCCTTGTGATATTCACTATCTGAGTCCAATTGACATTGGTTAGCTTTTATTTAAGAGTACATTGCTGTTATATTTAATATGAATGGAATGTCCTCTTTTCGGTGGGTGTGCAGAGCGTGTTATATTGATGAAGTATATTATTTCAAACATAAAAAATAATGTTATTGAAACAGATAAAATATTTTGGGGATTAGACATCGCAGATACTGAGAATTGCATACGTATTTCGAATGGTTGGTTTTCATGACTGGTGGATATATAGTCAAATTGCAAAATTGCGTATGTCCCCAAGTCATATCCACATTTCTGCGTAAGTCACAGTGCGCCATTATGACGTCATATAACTGCGTCATAAAAATTAATTTAAATCCGGCTAAGACTAAAAATTTGAACCATGGAAAATTATTGACTCTCAATGACCTAACAATATCATTAGGAAGTTTTTCACGTTTTTCTCAAAACTTCTAAAAATGACTTACACAGTTTGGTTATTAGCGTGACAATATATATCATCAAAGTATAGAAGTTTGGGCCAATGCCGGCCCTGGGTGTACATATAAAATTGTGAAGCTTCTGGCCCACTTTCAAACAACCCATATATATCTTCCACTTTTACAGAAAAAAAGGAAGATTATATCGATCTTACCTGTGATGGTGTTACAATAAAAAAATTTAATTCTGAAAATTCGGTTTCCTGTAGATAAAGATTATTTTTCTTGGTTCAAGAAGCGTTGCGGACTCCTATCCCCTTTGCGATTTCGTTTTTATATAAAGCAGACTTTTCTACCAAGGCCCGTTAAATATGATTTCACTGACTGTCGTTATGTTTTGTTTGTTCTATTATATGAAACTCATTGCAAAAAAAGTCTTTTATTGAAAAGTATCAATACGTATTTTTCACGGGTAGTCGTAACTTGAGCATATTTTTGGAGGGCGTCACAATACAATGAAGTTCGAGAACCACTGAGTCCTAGTCGATAGACTCGATAGCAAGAAATTTCTACTCAGGAATTTTACACTATACTTTTTAAATAGTTAATTAATAATCTATATGTAGCAGTTATTTTAAATGAAGACGTGCTATTTATAAATAATGGAAATCGGTATTCATATTTTGTATAATAAAAATTCTCGTTATTCTCTACATTCCCCCAAAATAAGCCCTGGTGTTATTTTCGAAATAAAATTGAAGACACTGTCTTATTTACACAGTATGATGATGTGTTCATTAGAAATCGTGAAATTTTTGTTTCACATTATTTTTAATAATTGTATTTCGAATCAAGAGTCTGGAAAAGTACAATAGATATAGTACTTTGTGTAAAACTAGTGCTCTCTTTGCGGCCCCTAAAATTCGTTTCGCGGCCCCTAGTTTGGGAAGCCCTGGGCTAGACAACTTCATTCCCTAAACTAGAGCCTATTATTGCCAAGTTATAGTCCAGATTGTAATAAGTATTTGAAGGCACTAACTGACTAACGCAATGTAAAATTTGCTACGGTACACCACGCCTGTGCTGGGGTCTCGTGCAGCTCCGTACCTAACGTACCGTAACTTACAGCACAGGGGTCTCATGTAGTTTCGTACCTAGCATACTTCTAGTGAGCGTAGCATGACAATTTTTTCACGTATCAATCTTAACCCCCACCTGACTACACCATCTAGAAAAAATTGCGTCATTACGACGTCACAGTGACGTAATAGAGCCCTTCAAACTATACGAACTGCCATTCTAAGACGCGCAAATGAGCACCCGAATCCGAACAGTTATTTTTCTCGTCGCAACGATTCCGATAGGAGAGAGCTCAATAACGTCACTCAGTTCTTTATCGTCGGCGCCAATGCCATTTCGGGAGATCGTACGTATATTTGGCAAGCTCTATGCCGTGATTGTGATGTCGTAGTGATTTAATTTTTGGATGGCGTACCGTAGTCATATGGGGGTTAGGATTGACATATCAAAAAATTGTTATGCTACGCCCACTAGAAGTACGGTATTGGTACTCGTAAAGCAGTACTTACAGTTTCAGAGTTTGGTGTTATTTAATCAGATACCGGTACCGGTACGACATTCATTTTACACTGCCACATCGCATTTTTGTTTAGACTTACTAAAACAGTTACGGTACCGTACCTACGGCGTTTACTAAGCAAGACCCTAAGATTGTGCAGTTAATACCGTATAATTTTAAAAAGTACGGTAGGCTGACGGTACGGTACCGTACCGTATGCTAGAGTGAGTTTGAATATATTACGGTGTATCATAAATCCAGAAATCAGCAAATGGTACCTCTCAAATGTATGTATTGGTACTGTAGTCACAATGCGAGACAAAGTTATTCCGATCCCTGAAAGGCTATGGCTGTTTGGGAGAGGGGAATCTTTTATTCAGATGTTGATAACAAATACCGTACCAACAAAATCTGGGTCTCATGTAGTTTCGTACCTAACGTACTTCTGGTAAGCGTAGCATAACAATTTTTTTACGTGTCAATCCTAACCCCCACCCGACCACACCATTCAAAAATTACGTCACTACGACGTCACAGTGACATAATAGAGCCCTTCAAATGATGCGAACTGTCATCCAAGACGCGCAGACGAGAACCCGAAATCGAACAGCCATTTCTCTCGTTTTCTCGTCGCAACGATCCCGATAGGAGAGAGATCGCTGACGTTAGACAGTTCTTTATCGTCGGAGCCGATGCCATTTCGGGCGATCGTTCGAGTATTTGGCAAGCTCTATGACGTGATTGTGATGTCGTAGTGACGTAATTTTTGGATGGCGTAGTCAGGTGAGGGTTAGGATTGGCGTGTCAAAATTTTTTCATGCTACGCCTACTAGAAGTACGTTAGGTACAAAACTACACGAGACCCCAAAATCTTTGTTTGTCGATTACCGGTACGTGCCAATTCAGCAATTTGTTTTCTAAGAGACCATGGTTTTCTGAAATATGATTAAGCTGTGTTATTGACTTTTGCCTCATAAATCAGTAAATAGCAAAATATGGAAATCTTTCTTATAATTTGCACATAGGACTTCAAGTATACTTTTTTATATGACTATTATTATGGCTTTTGCTCCGAAGAAGGTGCTGTACATTGTTTATACTAATTATACATACCCCAAAGTACAGAAGTACCAGTAAGTTTAATGAGCTGGTGTTTCGTGGTTCACTCAATGTGATAAAGGATGTGATAAATTGGATAGGTACCGTATAGCCTACTATAGATACTACTGTACTATGATCTGTTGAAAAATTGTAATTTCTCATATAATCCGTGCCCTAAAAAGTACAGAAGTATGATGAAGTCTTTTGATTTGTTCCTCAACTATCTGACTATAGTAGGCTGTGTAGCTTCCTCCAACTGCTACTTTTACTAAGTTTTTTTAGGCATTGATAGATATCACTGTATTTACAGAGCATAATGTTTTGATTTGCTCGGCGATGTGATGCATCGTGCAAAGCATTCGGAATATTCTCCCCACCGCACCCCTGTTTACCCTTTCGGGTTCACAGATACAAATCTCAGCAGCTATAGTTATGTGCGAGAGGATTGCTGGACTCCCTTGCTGTTGTAGGGTGGTTACGGCAATAAAGTCCATGCTTCTGAAAACCGATAACTTGTTAACTAATCCTGTAATCCCATATGGACAAGGGAACATGGTTCGCCATATGATTAAGTTATGTTATCAGCTTCCCTTTTTGCCGACATAAAAATTAAATCCTATTTTATTAAATACTGGGTAACTGTGTATCCTCATTTTTAATTCAATTCACTGCTTTTATGAAATTATTTCAGTGTTAGCTGTCTATATTTAAGAAAATTACTTCTATGGCAAGCTTTAGATTATATATAAATTTCGGATAATAGGAAATACAAACTGATAGTCAGTAAAATTTCTTTTTTACCTGGATTGGATTAAAAGTAAAGGTCACCATCTTGGGTGACCTTGGGACTCTGAACCCTAAGGATATAACGTTGTCTGGGATTTACTAAAAAATGAACCCTTTGCCAGCAGCTGACATATCGAGGAAAAATCCTCAGGATGATTTTGATTTAATTCAAAGAGTTGGAAGTGGGACATATGGGGATGTATACAAGGTATTGTTTTTTTCACAAATAATAAAGTAACTGTTAAACAGGGATTTAGAGTAGGGGTGTGAAACTTTTAATACAGGACAACCAGATACAAATACAGTACGGCACACTATACAAATCGGGTGACATTGTCCCATTTCAGAAAAACCCATTTTACAGATGATCAGACACCCCTCCTTTGGTAGACGTCTGTACATTGTTGTCCCTCAATATCGGTAATAATAAAGTATAATGAACTTGCGTAAAATACTACAAAAAAGCGCAATCTAGTAACGTCATCATTGAATTCCTTGGGAAAAAATAATTCGATTTACCAAAAGAAAAATTTTTTTATCGAAGCATTCGAGAGTTTTTGGCAAAAAACAGCAATTTTGGTCATGTGACGGCCGCGATTAATTTAGATTATTATTGAGACAAGCATGCCGCGATATGAAGCATCTGACGTGGTCCCAGAGCCCCCTCGTTTGCGAGACACAGAGTGTTTGTTTTATTGAGCCAAATGGAGGGAAATTCTTGGAATTTGGATAGTGTGCTGTACTGAAATACCTGAGTGAAACCACAAGCCGCACCTTTATATAACATATGCTTCCCAGTCGTTTAGAACCAAACTTTTGGTTATTGATTTTGTGACATGCACAAGCTCTGGTATACCCTTGCACTGCAAATGAATTGGAATTACTCGCCCGTTAGTTTAATAAAAACTTTCGTTTCGTTAGCAATATACCATTTAAAATTGGCACATCTTTGCATGCCTCACAATTTTCTTTGTGTGCCGCAGTTTGCACACCTCTGATATAGAGTCCTATAAAATTCACACCTAACTTAGGGTTGATAAAAACTATGATTCCAACTCATCATTTAAGGATAATTTGACTCCAGTTGTGAATTTGAGCAAATCAAATCTCAAAACCTCCTTTATTGACTGTTGATAACATTCAGTCAACATATTAGAACTTTGTGATTGTCTGTCGAAATTTTCACTCGATTCATCACCATAAACAGTCCTAAATTTGAATTTTCGACTTTGGATCCCGTTTCCAGGGAGTTTGAAAATATGATTTCACAGCTCTGCTTACTTTTGATTACCGTAAAATTCGTGTGTGAGATTTGACTTACGGTGTTTGCTTGAAAAATATTTTCCTGATTTTCATCCATCGCAAATAGAAATTATTTACCCCAACGTCCCTTGAAGTGAATTTCAAAACATCTTGTATTCAAGAGATTTTCAATGTAAAATTATAGCTTTTAAATTTTTTCAGCAGCTTCATTGTATTTTCAATGAAGCAGAATTTGACATATTGTTTCTTTTGAGAGAGCCTTTTATTTATTTTGTTTCAGACATGAAATCACCCATACTTTGAACAAAAAGTAAAAATGTCTAATATTATTAAAATTGGTTGCTTGAGTGTTAGTTACCTAGAAATCTATGGTCAGGATGGCTTTAATATGGCTAGATTGCATCAGAATGAGAATAGAACATGAGTGCTGATGAATGCTGCTATGTTTCACAATGTTTCTTGTAATCTAATGATGGTGATCTTTCCTGCCTGAGGTCGTATTTGCGTCACGCCACAACACATTCTGAACAAGAATGCAGATACAATCGAAAGTGAAATATATTGTTCAGCTCAATAAACAAAGCCATATAACAAGCAAGCTAATGAGTCAGTCTGCAAGATATTTCTACCTTTGATATATACAAATTTCATAGCAACTATTTTGAAGTCTCCAAATCTTTTTTGAATTCCCTACTTAAAACTCTGTAATAGCATAATAAAGTTATTAGCGATTTCATTTATGAGTAACATCACTGATATTAGGACTATAAAACTCTCTTAAGACTATATTATCAATGTGATTGTTTCTGTGTCTATGGAATGATGGGGAAGTCAATAAGTTCAGTTTCTGACTTCATGTATTTCACGGTGACCGTACATTTGAACCCACATACATTTGCACCCGTATATCCGCGAGTTCAATTTATATGAGGGTGCTAAAATCCACGGGTTGGGTTAGTATGGGTTCAAATATCTGTAAAAAAAAAATTTCTATAGACGCAATAGTATGCTGGTGCAATTGTCGTGGGTCCAAATGTACGTGGGTTCAAATGTAATGGAACCTTTTTTCACCTTTTCATGTATTATCAACACCCTGTGGTATTTGAATGATAGTTTCTTTCATTTTGCCATACGTTCTGAATCTAGTGCAAAATGTGTTGGATTATTTTGCCCAAAGCAAGTTATAAACAGTGAAACATGAGAATAAGTTTGGCAAGCTTGGCATAATGATAAGAAATCTGTATTTGTAAAAGATTCTGAATAACAAAACTACATAAGATTAAAACTTTATATTTTCCATTGGATAAGTAGCAATGTTTATTTCTTGAATGATATAACCATTATTGAACCGATTTCAACAGGCTCGCCACAATGCTACGAGTGAACTTGCAGCCATCAAAGTCATCAAACTTGAACCAGGTAATAATTTTTTATGTTCTAGTTTTCATTTAGCTTGGCCTGTTACACGAAACCTATAAGGCCTGTTTGTTCTTGCTTCAACATGACCTACCCACAGGCTCATACTAAATTCCATATTTTTGCTGAGATGCTGACACTTGTGAAGTAATATATGGATACTAAAATGAAGTAAAGGTAGACTAATATTCATTTTGTATAGATATGAGAGTATATTTGAAATTTTTTATTTATAATGACTTACGGAAGTTCATGAAGATGCAAGCAAAATGAGTAATTCAATGACAGAAACAGTAGTGGTGTCATGTCATGCCAGTGTGAGGGCAATTCCAGTCATCAAAACAAATGATCTAATTTTATATATCTGGAAGGCATTTTATGTATTTGAGATTTACCATCATCGATTGTGAATGAGTAAGGGCTATTCCGAGTGACTCTACAGGACAATTCCAGAAATTTTGCATGTTGTTAGATGCAATATATTTTTACATTTCCAGCTACACGTTCTGTATTGTTGTCCAATCAGTTGCTTTATGGGGTTTGAACAAAACTGCATGAAAGTTACACAAAAGACTTACTTAGTGGATATAAAATTTGGTTTAAAATATAGCGTGACCTTACGGGACAGCAAATCCACCATGCATTAACATTTCATTGTGTTGTGTTGTAAAATTTCGTGCTGGTACAGCGGGAGCCCTCAATATTTTTTGGTGAAGTAACTGAAGGACCCCTCTATGTGCCACTCAAGTTACCCAATGTAACACTGTAAATCCATGACGATAATGTGCACATTGTACGTGACTCTACAGGACGTGACACTACTGGACATTTTTCCTCTTCGGAACAGCGGTCTCTATCACCTCTCAAAATTCTAATTGTTACATAGGTACAGACATGTCCTACAGCATTGCAAACACTAATCTTCATTACCTTGAGTCCAGTTCATCTTTTTGAAATAAAATAACTGTACCAAACAATCAAACACTTTTTGTTCAGTTCATCACAAAAAAATGTCAAATTATATCAAAATTTCTACATTTCAGGCCATTTTGTGTAAACCATCAAAAACGAGGGTGAAATTTTAACTTTTCCCATGAAATGAATGCAGTTCAATAAAATTCAAGTGCCTTTTGATATAAAAAATACAAAACAATTACTTTTACTGCCCTTTTTAAAAAATTATCAAATTCAACTTTTGCTGGGAATGGCCCATAACATGTTAATTTAACTGCTACAAAATCAACAGCAAAGCATTCCAAGAGAATGATTAAAGGTATCACATTACGTCACGACATTCGTGTTAGCGATAGTTGTAGCTCATACATTATTACTCGCTATCCATTTCAAGCAAGCAAACTAGACGATATCTTTGAAATGTTGGTATTTATAGCCTTGCGTGTATTCCTATAGCCAGTGAAGCTTGAAATTGTGGTGGGACTCTCGTTACTCTACCTTCAATGATACTAAAGTTAGCTTGTAGCAAAACATTGGAAGTTTGTTATTCAAACTGGTTTACAATCGGGAATAGCTATAATCGAAGGATTTACAATTTTGAAATATTATTTTTGAATATGAATATTTGATTTTGAATATATTTTTGAATATGTCGCACATCTGTGTCTGAGGCCGGTAAGGTCTTGAACATGTATCCCGTCTCCTTTATACCGTTTAACTATTATGCAGATACTGTTACATTTTTGAGGCAAATAAACATACATACACGAAACAGCATACATTTTAAATTGGTTATTGTTAAATTAAACAGATTCTTTTATATTCATAAAAATAAAATATACCGGTAGTAATGCACAGTTGACAGTATACACCTCTGCTTCTATGTTAATGTACATACAACTAACATACATATGTACTTTAGTTGGGATAAATATATTTTATGGTGTTCTATTTTTCACATTGTCAAAACCAATAAGTACAACCAATCCAAATTGGTGCCTGCCTATAATACATACAAATTTCAGGTCTTAATTTTTAAAAAAATTTGAATTTCCTGTGTAAAACCCCTGTATTTTGGATCAGACAGCTCAATACAGTGATTTACTATCTTATTCATGGTAACATCACTGATATTGAGACTTTCATCTGACATATTATCAATGTAAAATGCTGGCAGACATCCAAATCGTTATTAAAATCCCTTTCAGAGATTTTATCAGATCATATTACAGGCTGTAAAACCTGTTTTATCATACTAGGGTCTTAACATGTTTTATTGAGTTGAAAATACAAGATGGTAAATGTTAGTGCGCTTTGTTTATATTGGATTACCACACTTTATGACAGATGACTCATTTGCCTACGTTTATGATGTCACACTCGACTCATTCTCCTATACAATTGGAAGGTGATCTGACAAGCCAAATTAACTTTATATGGGACAGAAACTAAAGTAATATCTATTTACCAGTATGTTTGAAAGCAAGTAGGCAATGCCATATACTATTATGAAAGGCTTTCCAAGAATTCCAATTCCGTTAATATGCATAAAAATGAAAGGTTAGGGTTAGGCCCTAATTTTGTTCCAATTTTCCCTATTTTAGTTCTACTTTCCCTATTTTAGTTCTATTACGAGTTCGGGGACTGTCTGTGTTAGTCAAGTGAATATACCCCCTGCCCATACCATAGGTTTCAGTCCCTTTACACAACTTGATGTGAAGTAGGTGGACAAAATTAGTTTCCTCCATAGGTTCACACATTTCTGGAACATCGGAAAATGTTGGTCATATCACACTAATAAATTTTAACAGAATGATATATAAACATAAGATAGATATATGCGTTCAAAAATATGAAACAGTTTCTGTAAAACTTTTTTGATTGACAAAGCTACACAATATACTATGAGAAAAGAAGAATTCTCCAAAAAGTTACTGGCTGAGATTCTAAATAAAATGCTCACAATTCTCAGATTGTAAAGTTCACAATTTCCGTTCCCAATATTGAGTTCAAACTTCAAATGTCAAACATTTTGTTCAAATTCAATAGGCTGCCTCTGGATTAATCTTTATGGAATTATTGCATTATCACATTAGGTTTAAAATTTGTATAATATCGCTATTTCATTTGCATAATTTTTATTTCTTTTTATGGTATTCAATTCATTAATGTCTAATTATCCACAATAATCATATATCTATCGTTTTTTCTAGGTGATGACTTTGCTATCATTCAGCAAGAAATTATCATGATGAAAGATTGTAAACATCCGAATATTGTTGCCTATTTTGGAAGCTATCTAAGGTAATCAATTCTATTTAATAATGTTTCATTGTGAAGACTGGATTGCTTGAAATCCTTTGCTTTGGTATATCTGATTTCTAATGCACATTAGTGTCCAAATTTTAATTTCAGAATGCGAATGTTGCTATAGATAAAGCTAGCGTTTAATTGAACATTTCACTATTTTTTAATATTTGTCTCAATTTTACTTGAACGTATGGGAAAAGTGAGAAATGATTTTATGCTTCAAATTTCAGTGTTACTGTTATTTGACAAGTAGCAAGCACATAACTACCTGTGGCTGTAATACAAGCGAACTAGCCGCATGCTTATGTTATGTATTTGTTATGAATTACGGTAGTTATTTCACCCTATATCTGAATACAACCATTCTATGAATATCGTTGTCTCTATAGTTGTAATAATGTTGGAAATTGTATTCAACATGCTTAGTTAATTACCATAATTAATTCTAATGAAAAATGATTTTGTTGTGGATTATCTGTTTAAGCATTTCCTTCCTAATTTCTATAAACCTAATGGGGTATAATATGGGCGTGGGGTATATTCTCTTGACTAACACAGACAGTTCCCAAGCTCAAAATAGAACTAAAATAAGGAAAATCGGAATAGAACTATGGCCTAACTCTAATCTGGAATACACACTACGGGAGTACCTCAAATTCTGTGAAGCACTACATACAGTGTTTGATCCTGTCTTTCAATCAGCACAAACCAGTGGTTTTCGAAATCCAATGATCCATATCCCCCTTCCAACACTCTGTAGTAGGCTTTTGGGTTCAGCCTTTGCTTATGGGCCTAGAGAACTCTTTAGTCCCATATCCAACGGCCTAGGTTGAGAACTCTGGTGTAAATCATGCATAATTTGCTGAAAAAAATATCTCAAGGTTATAAAAGAATATTTTAGAATTTTAGCAAAACCTTATTTACTTCTTTCAGGCGAGATAAATTATGGATTGCAATGGAATATTGTGGAGGTGGTTCAATGCAAGACATTTATCATGGTAAATATTATTTTTGTAATTCATAATGCCCTGGTATTGATGTTATAATATTATGGTATTTGAGAAAAGTCTGTATATTAAAAATGATAAGTTTCTGACTTTTTGTTGTTGTTACATTCATCATAACTCATAACCAAATACAGTAATTCGAATTTGCTACTCCAAATACTGTCGAAAATAATATTAAATATAATAAAGGGAATATTGAATGTGTATTCTGATTTTGGTAAGTACTCAACAAAGGAATTCGAAAGAATTTTCTGTAAGTTTACAGGAGTTGATTTTTTTATTGCAGATTGATCAGGCACGTATTACCTTGATTTTATTTCCAATTTTAAATCTTCGAGAGTTGAATGGAGTTCATTTTTTAATTTGTCAGATGGCAATTGATTGATTAAAATGGTCTATTTTCAATTGAAATTATTTCTAAATTTAGGAATTTCCCTCATCAAATATGCCCAATCATAGACGATTCGAATATTCATTTCATTGTACATTCATGGTTACAAGTGAGAAAAAAATTCCAAGTATTATATAGTTCTATCAAAATAATTTCAAAACACCATTGCCTTAGATATCTACAGAATGGTATTCATATAATTCACCACAATTAGGATAGGTTGGCTGGTATAAGTATGAAAATTTCAACAATATTATTAAACTTGCATTTAGATTTCGTTTAGATGTTTGCTCTAATTGACACAAAAATACATTTATTTGAACAAATTTATCTGTAAGCAACCGCCCTTTTTGTCATCAACCTCCATTACAAGTAAACACAGAGCTATATAGTTAAAAAACAAAGGAATTACGACTGGCTGTCATTTTACTTGTGACATAAGAACGTAAATATAGATATAGTTTTTACAGCTTGTGGGTTGAGATGACAATATTAAGCACAGAATGAATGATAAGGTATATAGTTTAGACCAGTGTAATAAAATATTGTATTTGTTTGCACCTGAAAACATTCAATACCACTGGTAAAAACGTTTTATGTTAATGCATTGTGTACCATAGTAGGTGAACAATTTTTTTAAAGGTAATTCATGTGTTCTTCCAGAATCCCGTAACTTAGGTTCAAAAACATAGAACTGATCCTAAAACTAATAAAGCTAGCAGAAGCATATAATAATATCATGAATTCATGTGAAGAGAACATGCTACTCGTATTCATCATGTTTAGAGCTTGTCAGGAATTATCAATTTTTTACAAATTGCATCAAATTGACCTCAAAAATTTTTTGGATGATTATTTTTTAGTTTATACTCTGAAACAAGAATTTTTGTAATTCGTTAAAGAATAGATCTGTTAATAAACTTTCGGGTTCAGTAAAGCAGATACACAACCGATCATACACATGGCTCAATATAATATATTGATAAAGTATATACATTTGGGATGTTGGTAAAACTATAGCCTATCATTTGCACCTTTCTTGTGTGCTTTTAGTATCATATAAATGAAGCCTTATCAATCAACTACGGTAAATTTATTTTCTTTTTCTTTCATTTATAATAAGATGATTGAATGTTATAAAAAATGATAGAAAATTAATGTTCATTCGTCACTTCAATGAAAATTTGCATCAGATATTTGTGGTATCTTGGTTAATGGTTACCAATAAGTTCTGATTGCTTCTGAAATACAGGTTGCCAATTTATTAATAAGATGATATTGGTATATATATGGAATATTATATATTGAATTTTGAATAAAATGTAAACACTTAGTTCAACCAAAAAACTTATTAATGACTTTTAATTTTCGATAGTATTTTTCTAGGCTTCACATCTCGCCAATTCTATAAATAATACTCATTATTTTCAAGTAGATATGCACATGATGAATGATAATGTCTTTATTAATATCTTTGCATAGAATTGGAAGTGTATGTTTTGAGAAGATTCAAGGGTTGTAGCTTGTAGGATGACCTTGACTCTGAATATGATTCAAATTGGGCATTAGTAAAAATGATTACATCAAGTTATTTGTTGAAAAAACACCATCTAACTTTTTTATATTCATATTGTACAGAATATTAAAAAAATTCAATCCTCAAAAACTATGTTCTTACTGCAATACTGCCATGCAGACCCATTTGAACTGTTACCAAATCGTTTTCAAGTATTTTCCCTAAACTTGTAAAATCTATTTGATTTAATTTTTTTTATGTTACATCTAACCTTGTGGCATAAGAAATAGCATTGAAAATTTCATAAATTGTTTCTTGTATTATACTCTACTGATAATTTCAATTTGGTTAAAAAAAATTTTTAAATACTGGAAATTCCGATGCCAGTCGTCCATGGAATTTCCAGCAGAATTAAAAGCTTTCAATAGCTTGCAGCATACACAGATTTTAAAGATTTGCATATTTTGTTCTTTATCAAGCAGAAAGTAGCATATTGACTATATTTATGAAATTGTCATGATATATATTCTAAATGACTTTAATCTGAAACAATAGTTCTACTGCCTAAATTTTACGATAAAAAATTTATTGCATGCTTCAAATTTTATCAAACTTAGTGAATACTGATGTTAATTATTTAAATGAATATTATCAATAATATATTTCCCACGACTCCATTCCTGGAAGTCTATGGTCGCGTTAAATCATTACTCGTTTGAGTAATCAATATCTATACTTCCCAAAGCTTCGTTATCCGATGATCAAACTATTTCAGACATTGGAATTTGTAGATAGATCAAAAGGAATTGATTAGGCCTCGATATTATCTGTATTGTCACTGTTACCTTCCACTATACCTTCCAATTTCTTTCGGTTTTATAAAGTAATTTGCATGATTCGTTTTTCTCACTACCAGTACAAATCCATTTTACGATAATTTGTTTTATCAACACAAATCATATTTGATATCGAGCATTGTCTTGTTTCAAATCCATTTTATAGTAAAACTAAATAGACAACTATAGCATAGCAAACCAAATTTGATATCCGGCATGGTCTTGTTTAAAAATGCTTATTTCTGTGACAAAAAAATAAAAATCTGTGACAAATAAAATTAAAACTCGAATACATAAAATAAAACCAAAAGTGCATTAGGTAAAACAATGACCACGGAGTCATTTATGAAAGTTGTGTCACTGCATGCCTGCAGAATATTATTTGATATTTTCAAATAGCCAACAACATTTCTGGGTGCCTTTCTAAATATCTTCAGTTCTTTTTATTGTACTGCTTACGATATGTCTTTCTGCTTTTTTCTATCCCGAGATTAAATCTTTTTTTATATATATTTTACTGTCATATTGCATCAATAATAAGTACCTGCTTGGGAGTAAACTTATATTACATCAACAGTCCTATTACAGAATACAATGATTTATGAATTTTTGATTTTCCCATAATATCATGAACAGTAGACAATAGTAAGTCAGTAGTTTATTTTTCGCCAAAATGAAAATACACTTGATGCAAACGAAAACTACCGTAGGTAAAAAACATGAAAATGGCATTTCATGGTGAAGAGTGACGCGAGAAAAAACAATGTTGGTTATCGAGCTGCGACATCCGAACATGGTTCCATATGGATGAAAAGACCGAATAGTCAGCGTTCGCCCCTAGTTGATGTCATTAGTTCAAGACTTGGAGCTCAAATTCACCATTTCACCCATTATTAATAGGCTATGAATTGAGTAGGTAATGGCAAATTTGAAAAATTTCGATCCTTCAAAAAGTGGGACCTATGTACGGGACCTTGTTCGGAGGTTCGCATAATATGCCTCCTGATGTTGTATATTGCATTCACGCTGCACTTTGGATACCTCAGTGTTAATCAGGTCCACATGAGGAATTTATGACTAATAAATACTGAGTAATCAGCATAATATTCTTTATTATTACAGTCACCGGTTCCCTGGAGGAAAAACAGATTGCCTACGTCTCAAGAGAAACATTACAGGTACAATTTTTATTGAACACTTTGCTTTATGAAGAGTGAAGACTAATAAACTTGATATCGTAATTATCCTTAAAATTCATATAAGTTGCACCTGTTTGAGGTTAACATGCCTATATGTTATTGTATTTATCAGATGATCTGTTGCTTTTGAACTTCAAATTTCTCAAATTTTTATTTTGGTTTTATTGGCTTTGCCTTAAGGCACCTCATTGAAGTAAGAGTGCCACAGTTGCTGAATATGTATACCTACCTATATTACAACTAATATAGGGTGTTCATAAAGTCTTGAAATTTGTTGGAATTGCAAAGGGAATTCATCGATATCATAAATTGTTTTGGCCCACAGGCCACACAGATGTATTATTAAATGAAGTAAAAATACTTGAACAATACCGATTACAAAACATCAGACCTAATTAAGATATATTGAGAACTGACTTCATTTACGAAATTAAAATTGTAAAGGGACTACACCCTGAAACTTTGGAGTTCTCTTTTTGGTTGGTGTTTGTTATGGCCATGGATGATCCCAACTGAACAATCTACTATTTAAATTCCAAAACAGTTCCTGAACCGTGGCTTGTGGGTCAATTACAGCTTGCGTAATGATTTAATATGGCCTGTCGAACCCAAGTGATATATTTAAACACTTCGGGTATTTACTGGAGGTGGGCCGGGATTCAGATTCGAGTCGAATCCAGGCATTTTTGGACTCTGATTCGATTTCGAGTCCATGTCGTTTTCACCGAGTCTATAATCAATTCTGTTTTTATTAATTTATGCCTATGTTTGTACTTTTACCCCTATAAATCTCAACACATACCTTAACTAGTTGGAATTCAATATTAGATATGTAACATTAACAATTTCACTCGTGTGTGGAATGGAAAGCATGGAGCGTTTTAAAACGTTTACATCAACTACTAAAATGCAAGCATTGTATTGACGACTAGTGGCATCTCTCTACCATTTGCGCACGCGACATAGTAAATTTAAGGCTAGAAATATCTGGAATTATGGGGAAGCATTGTAGTCAAAAGCTTTTTATTTTTCATATTGACATGTAAGAATTTCTAAATAGCCGTCCAGAATTGACGCAAGGTGGTGGGCTGGAAATCCAGTTCACAGCTAAGGCGCACATTGACCCACGTTTACGTTTGTATTATGGTCACCAGAAAAATAGGAAAAATATATTTTTAAATTGATTCAACAGCTATTTGCGGAACCATTAGGCAAAAAATATGAGCTACGACGTCTTTTTGTGAGCGTGCGATGCTGTAGTATGATCAAAAACGTGTTTTTCAACATTTATATTGTGACGTCACAGACTCGAAGGATTCGATTAGAGTCCTTTAACTATTACTCGGATTCGTCGAATCTCTGTAATGCTGGACTCGTCCCATCCCTAGTATTTACTTTACCCTTTGTGGGCACTCCCCTCTCCTAGTCTGCAAATATTCTTTCGTTCTAATTTGACACCCCCCTCCCCCCCAATAAAAAAAACTCAGTCAATCAACTTTGGGAACCACTATTCTAAATTATTGTTTTGATTAATTTGGCCACATTTAACATAGAACTTATAAGAGAATGTTTATATTCAATAAGTTAGACTTTTAGAATGCAGTAAATTTAGGAGAACAATATTGGGTTAAATGAAGATATTTTGGTGCAAATGGAGACCTCAATTGTTCAAAATGCTTACTTTTGAATAAACCTATAAAACTAGATAAATCAAGATTTGAATTGAATATTCTGTAGCTATTTTCAAATTGATTGAAATATGCCATGTGTTTTTGACATCCCTGGTCAAACCTAACTTGTTGCTTGTTACTGTAATTTTTTTTTTATAAAACAGTCATTTATTACCTTTACTATTGTATCAGGGCTTGTTTTATGGCTTAGATATCTGTTATACATTACTAAGGCAGAATATCTGCATTTGCATTACAGCGATGCATTAAATATGATGACATCATTCTATGCATCCTGTGTGGTCGGTTGCCTACTTCAATATTTCCTTAGTTTATATCACCTAGGTCTGATATTTAAAGTCCCTTCTGTATTGCTTTATCATTAATAATTGTCATCTAGATCAAGGGTTTAAAACTTTTGATGTTATGGAGATCATGAAGAGGTTGACTATTATTTATGAAGTCCCCACGATAAATTTAATACCATATAAACAAAAAAACTTGTTCTTACTTGCCGATTAATGTTCCAGAGTAAAATGTAATTACTTATTGATTTACTCGGACGTGTTTGCTGCTCAAATTTTTTTAATGCTGTTATTTCTTCTTTGGAAAGTTACAAAATTAGCCAAGTCAGTATTTTAATAAATAAATGAATAGTTTGCAGAGCCTCTAGGTTTTCAAATTTTACTTTCAAGTTTTTATCCTGTTGTCTTGTGGTGTAGTGGGACAGATATTCAAAATCTGATTGTTTCGGCAGAAAAGCTGTTTAGCTGCTATTTCTAAACTATCCATTATGACCATTTTTAGACAATTCAAAAACCATTATGGTCAAATTTACGTACAGTAATACTTTATTTGTCAGAAAGGTCTGGTTGCATGGAGTTTATTAAACAGTATGTGAAGTTCTTTTTTATTACTTGTCCAAATAATATTTAATTTTTAACAGGGCTTGAGATATCTTCATAGTAAAGGAAAGATGCACAGAGATATAAAGGTATGAAACTATTCTGATTTTACTGCTCCCAGAAAAAATTCCATTCAATCATTTTTTCGATCTACATTTCTCTACCCTAATTCAGATTTTGGTAAAAACAAAACTCATATTGCTTCTTTCTTATGCTCCTCCAAATTGATCGTTTTAGTTCGTTCTCCATGTTATCATAATATCTATTGAGATGATGCAAAGCATTTTTCCAGCACTTTCAAGTTTTATTGCCACTTCACTTACTAATGCCTTAAATTTATTGCTACTCTAACAAACAACATTTATATTTCCATGTTACGTTTCATTGAAAATGTGTTAGCATCTCTAGGATAGGTTTTTTTTGACTACTTTTATTCTGAACAGTATGACTGAGCAATAAATGTTTGTGAAATTTCTCATTCTTGTTAGTCTTGTTTCTGGTCAACTTTTTTCGAAATAAACTAAGAAAAAGATTATTAAAGACTTGCGGTCAATTGCAAATGATGGTGAACAAGTCTAATATTTTTTAAATACTTGACTTTTGTCTTCTGCCTTTTTTTTACTTTCTATATATTGATTTTCCTTGCTTTTATGGCTCTCAAAATTTTTCTAAAATATCCAAGATAAGATATTTATTCAAATTATAAATTATTTGCTTTTTTTATTTCAAACAAGATTTCGTATCAGTTCTGTATCTTTGGGAAACAAGGTTGAACCTAAGTGGGTAAAGAATATGTTATGTTATGAGATGTTTAAAAATATTTGGTTGTCAAGAAAATTTCTTGATGGCACATAATTATGCTTATTATTGCCAATTTTATTTTGTTTTCAATATCTTTATTATTCCCAGGGTGCCAACATCCTTCTGACAGATGATGGGAATGTAAAACTTGCTGATTTTGGTGTATCGGCTCAAATCACACAGACCATTGCAAAGAGAAAATCATTTATCGGAACACCGTATTGGATGGCTCCAGAAGTTGCAGCCGTGGAGAGAAAAGGAGGATATAACCAACAGGTGTATATTTTTTTAGGTGTTTTCAGACCTTCGCCACAAATAAAGTCCTAGCCAAGTCTATGAGGCATAGTCTCATGAAAATAATGAAAATGTCTAGTTTTGTAGGCGACCATGTTAAGACTACAAAAACTGAAGTTCCCTTTTTCAGGGATAAATATGAAAAATCCTACATTGGTAGATAGACTCGCCTCATAATTAATAGGACAATTACAATTTTTACGGAAATTTGATCAAAGGTAAAAAATGAGTGAGATTAATCTCTGAGCGAAGTTAGGTATCATTTGAGCGATCATTTAGATACCAAGAGCCACTGAGACTGTAAAGAATACTTTAGAATTAAGTGAAGTCACTAATGTGCCAAGAGTTACTGAGACTAAAAAGAATCATAGCTTAGAATTATGAGGTAGTGATTGTTAATCAGGAAAATATAAACAAGGTAGTGGATTGGGTACTCTCGTGGTATGTCTATCAGGTTAGGGTTAGGCCATAATTTTATTCAGATTTTCCTTATTTTTATTGTTAGTTCTATTACGAGTTCGGGGACTGTCTGTGTCAGCCAAGTGAATCTACCCCCTGCCTATAGGTTTCAGTCCCTTTAATCAACTTGATGTAAAGTAGGTGAACAAAATTAGTTACCTCCATATTGGTACTCATATTTCAGGAGTGCCGTGGATTGTACATAAATAAAATCCATGGGGAAAAAAAGGGGAAAACATTTTTCGTATGGTAGGTACGCTGACAATAAAGGGGTGAAAGCTCACAGCCAATCGAGTTTGACAACTGGAAAGTACAGTGTTTTATGAATGTTTTATTTGTCTCATATCTTTAAAATCGACAATGACCCTTATTGCATCATCGTTTTGCAATCTTTAGGCTTATACTAATGAAATATTTATATTCAGTGTGACGTATGGGCTGTGGGAATTACTGCCATTGAGTTCGCAGAATTGCAACCGCCTATGTTCGACCTTCATCCCATGCGGGCACTCTTCTTAATGTCAAAATCAAGTTTTCAACCTCCTAAACTGAAAGAAAGAAATAAGTGAGTCGATTCTATTTTAAAAGCTATTTTAATTTTATCATACATAACAGGTCATGTTCAACTGAAAATGTTGCATTGTAAATTCATCGAAATAAAATTTTATAATGCAGAATGTTGAGGTGATCATCGATTTGATTGAAAAGTTTTTTATGCTGTAAAAAGTAGGACTAAGTTTTTTTGTTTTGTTTGACCATCAGATATCAAGTGCTCACATTGATAATTTTTTGAATAAAAATCTTTTGAATATTTCCAGAATTCGATAATTTTTGAATGTACTCAAATATTCACATGAAAAATATGAAACTTAAATCCTGTTAATGCATTCAATAAAGTGATGGTTAGATGTAATTTATTTGTCTTTCGTTCTTTTCACTTCTGTTACTGATGACAGAAATAAGTGATAATTTGATAATTTGAAATGATGGTGTGTAAATTATGTTGTTCTGACAAGATATGAAGTGATAAATCAACAATAAATTGCTGTCACACTGTTCTTCATGTCTTTGACACTTCAGTAGTTATGTTAAATTTGTTATTTGCTGCCTCTGCAGATGGAGTGCTGACTTTCATGGATTTCTGAAACAAGCTCTTCAGAAGAATCCAAAGCGAAGACCAACAGCGGAGAAGTTATTGCAGGTATAAACATTTTATTTTGTACTTGTATATACATTTTGTTGAGTTGAGTGTATGATGAATAATATTGGAGCGCAGATAGCTTTTCCTGAAAATTGGAAAAATTAAAATTTAATTTAAGTGAGCAGTTAATCTTAAACTTTTCTTATTTCATTCAGCATACTTTCGTTGCACAAAACAGTCTTGGTCCCAAGCTTGGAATGGAATTATTAGACAAAGTACGAAATCCGACAGCGCAAGATGTGCCTGACGATGATGTGGATGATGATCCTCTGATGACAGCAGGACCCAAGGTCATTCATCGACCTTCAAGACCTGCTGGAGAAGACAGACAGATTAAAACGAAATCCGAGGCCATGTGTGAGTACAGTTTGTGGTTGATAATATAGTGAACGATTAAGTTTGTTTTATTTGGACATGATTTGGATCTCTTTAACAATTTACTGTTACTGTAACACAAAATATCCTTTTATATAACTGTACAACTACTCACTTTTTTTGAGTTCTTGTTTTCACAGTTGGAAGGGACTCCAATGTAGCGTTTTGTTTCATACATTTGTCAACTTTTCTACTTGGTCTTTGGGTTATTGGATTCTTTTTATTATTTTGTATGGTTGTGCTCAATACGTTATCGCACTGTTGTATTTATTTGTTGCATTGTTTTTATTTGTTCAGAAGCTAATTCCTAATTTAAATTTTTTCTCTTTTACAGTTGAGGAAGCGATATTTTTACCTGGAAAAACAGACAACGATGTGAGTATCAAAATTTTATTTTGCGAATTGGTTTTTAAAACTTGTCCAAACCTTTTCTCATATTCTTATGGCATTACTATTTATTTAACAGAAATATGGTTCAAAAAGTTTTTTCAAATCTGATGCTGCTTTTATCTGGGTGCATTGCATTCTCTACTTTAGCTAAAAAACTATCTCACACACAGTAACTTTGTTCTAATCATTGTACAGAACAAATATTTATTTGATATCTTTTTACCTATATACGAATATCTACATTCAAAAAAAAAATCTTTTCGATTGGGATTGTCTACCTAAATTTTTGCAAACTCATTTAGGTGAAAAAAACGGGATTTGAGCTTTATAATAATGTTCACACAATTTAGCCTCGCATTTTAATGATGACTCTAGTTACTTTACATTAGATACATATAAGCTTGATTCACTAGATCCATAGTCTCAAAATTTATCTCTTATATTGTGAATACAGGAAGCTCCATTATATAAAGACGGTGAGGCCTGGATGCCTGATGAAGGATTGAGCAAGTGAGTTTATATTCTTATCATAAGCATGCGTAAAGTTATTTTTTTTTCACGCTTTTTTGGTTTGTCATTGTATGATGATTGATTGTTCACCAAGTCTTGTTTCATGTTATAATTTGCGATTTTTATTGGATGGTTCTTTGTTCGTAGTTGTTAATATCTTACTATTATTAAATAGGGGGTAAATTGAAAATGTCAAAAAATTATGGTGTATCTAACTCTTTTGGGTAACTCATTATCACAGGGTGGATCTTTCAATGGTCAGTTATGATTAAAAATAAAGTACTATTTATGATTATTTTAATTAATTAATTTAATGAATTCTTTTTAATTAACTTTAAAAGAATTTATTTTATTATTCCATTGTAATAAATGAATATTAATTTGAATAATAATTTTGTTACTAATGCTATTTGACAGTCTGTTTTGTCCCTCAGTAAAAATATGAAAAGTTTGATATTTTGGTTAGGAAGTCCTTTCTTCGTCATTGTAAATTAAGACAGGATTTCTTTGTAATACTTTTATTTTACTCTGGAATTATCATGATTTGGCTAAAAATGCATTATTTGAAACAATGTGTTTATTTTGAATATGTTTTGTGTAAATTTATGCATTCTAACTATTTATTTTCCATAATCCATTATGAAATCACCGTTTATGGACATTTTAAGTCTATTGATAGAGATCATTTTTGTTTCATTCACTATTTCACATGACACAGACTGTAAAATAAGGAAAGCAATGTTAATAACATCATCTGCAGATTTAATCATTAGCTTGGCTTGGTTTCCTTATTTTAATATACTCTAGTTTACCTTCTATCTGGAGTTCTATAAATTTTCTCGAGAACGTAAACAATAACTTTTGGAGTTAATTGAATACCTTGTGTTACACCAATCACAATGAATTTGACTATTTGACTATGGCATTTTTGTTCTAATTACAGCCCTGTCGACTTGAGTTTGTTTTGACTGTTTTATGTGTGATGTTTCCAACATATTTTGTTCATTTTCTTCCTGCAACAAACATGAATTTTTTCTTTTTGATTTGATTTCGATTTTTATTTTTTTCATTTCTCTCACGGCAGAAGTTTACTCAGCTCTGTAGAGGAAGAATTGACTTTACGGTAAATAAAAGTTTTACCTAAGTTGCATTCTTGCCAAATCTCAATACTATATCTAGACTTGTGAACGGGTGGACTTCATTTGGTGGTTGTTATAATTGCAAACGATTTTGAAATGCGTGAAATTGAAATTCATTATTTGAAAATTATATATCGAAGCCCCTTGAGTCATGTGTCATTCTCAATAAATGAGGTATACAAATATTGTAATCATTTCAAGTGTCCATATAATTCATTGGTTATTGAAAATTATTACTTACATCAAGACATACAAATTTTGGTACTCCCGAAGTATGTGAACCAAGATGGTAAACACCGGAACGTAGTATGTGTAACAGGTTATGGTTAGGCCATAATTTTAATCCAATTTTCCTTATTTTAGTTCTATTACAAATTCAGGGACTAGCAAAGTGACTCCCATAGTATTTGTACCTGAAATTATGGCCTAACCCTAACCTGGTACACGTACTATGTTCCGGTGTCCTCTATCCTGGTTCACATAGCCATCTAATTTTGATAATGCTACCGACTCATCTCTATGTTTTGTCTTCATCATATGGTTCTCAAAATTATGCTACATAATGACCAATAATTAGAATAAGACAAAGGTTCTAAATAAATTAAACCAAATGTTTATATTACCAGCTCTGCTTTTTAAAATGTTGTTTCTCATATTTTTGTTCAATTCAGTTTCTGTGAGCATGTCTGTTTCCATATTTTTTGTTTCATTGATAATTGCAATCAAATTGCATGTATTCGCATAACATAAATAAATTAACTACTTATGTTGTGAGGATGAAAATTCTGGCCTTTTTAACAGGACCTTTTTTGAATGTCTAGGGTTTTTGTTTCTTGGAAACCTCTTGTTCAATCATAGGAATGTTATGAAATTAACTACTAATGATTTTAATTCCTTGGGGTCATAGTTCGCATTCCAGGCTTGCATGAGTCAAATTTCTTATTAAGAAAGAGTATTAAAAAGATGTTGATATGTTAAAGTTTTTATTTTCAAAATTCTATTTGCTTTGGAGTTTATAGTTACAAATTGATTAAAAATAAACACAAAAGCCGGCAATTATCCAATTCCTTATGCACCCATGATCACTTGGCACTACTCCAACTCACATAAAAAAGGTTCCATTTGTAAATATTTTTGTTTTAAATGTCAATACTGTTAAATACTATTCCCAAAAAGGTCCCAAATGATTTGACTATATTTAAAAAGATTTCTGTTTTGGTTAAACTTACGGTAATAAAATATATAATATGGTGAGAATGAACAGAAATATATAATACATTCATGATTTAAAAAAGTTGCCTAATGAGTCTTTATCCATAAATGAGTATCAGTGCAGATTCAGGGATTTGACGAACATTTAGTAATATCATAATTTTGTAGTTTAATTAATGTTGGAAAAATTACAGAATATTAAACAGTTCTTCGCATGAAAATTGGAATTTCAAATTGAACTTGGAATATGTTATTTAACAACTTATAATCGGATATTTGTGTTGAAAATATCTGTTACAATTAATACTGGTGACAAAATTTGGTGAAACTAACGTTAATGTGTGAAAATTAACAAGTTTACAAAGTAAACAGAGATTGATTCTGCTTGAACCTGACTCTTCTCAGTATGGTCATGACATTTCCACCAAATAACATTAGAATTCTTGATCTGAACACGGTTTAGTTTCTCTTAAAAATCAGGGTTTTTAACTCTCATTTTGTTATTTCTAGGGGGCACAAGACAAGCTTTGAACAAGAGTAAGATATTTTTACATTTGAACTTATACCTGGTAACATTCACAACTCACAAGACTGACTATAATTAAAATTGCATCCTTTGGTTGTGTGTGAACGTGTTTTATCAATTTTCTCTGAGATTTATAGGATGAAGATGCCAAGAGTTTAGAAATTATTTAATGACATATCATGTGCCTTCCATTCTGTACAAGACTCTTTAATGCGTTGAGTTTGAATAGCTACAATTAAATCATGTTTGCATATTTGTACCCCCAATACAGGTCAAATACACCCCTGACTTGGGGTATATCTAGTAATCCCTTACATCAGGGGTCGGCAACCTTTTGTAGCTCGCGGGCCAAAATTAAGGTTGCAAATCATTGGCGGGCCGCACATATTTTTAGAAAGTTGAAAATCCAACCGGATGGTACTTTTTATAATAAAAATCAAGCAGTGGTACATCTCTCGAATAGAATATAGATTTATTTCCTCATTGCATCTCATAAAATTGGCTTAATTATAATATAATTGTTAAGGTTATAATATAATTTAGTCTGAAGATATATATTTGTCAAAACGGATGTTTTGTTACTATAATTTAGTGAAGCGTCGCGGGCCGGATTATAGTGCTCCGGATCCTGCCCGCGGGCCGTAGGTTGCCGACCACTGCCTTATATCGTCGGAAAACACATATTACACTTGTAAATAAAACAAGTGAAATTACAAGTACCTTTTATTTTACAGTGACGCAGGTACAATGCGAGCTGCTGGTGCACCTAGCGAAGGACCTCCACTTCCTCCAAAGGTAACATTCTGGTTCATAGTTCAGTATGTAACGTATTGTTGAGTGGTATAACTGGAGTTCGGCTAGGCCCCTATAAAGACTCAACTGTCCCTAGTCTTCTATATAACTTCTATTTATGTATATATATATAAAAAATATGACTAGTTTTGCTTTTATTAATGATTTTTATCAGTATTTTATTCGTCGTGTTCAATAATAATGGATATAATATTGAATAGCCTGATTAATTACTTAAATTTAATGCTTATTTTTGTTCAACCTTAGCCGCAACCACAAATGGATAATTCGCTGGTAATTTTTGGTTTCTGCAAAATTTATGTTTTTTATTGTTTTTGATTTGACAAGAAATACATGCTAAAACATAGCAAGTTTTTTCTTATTGGAGTGACATTTTCTTTGTTTGCAGAAATGAATTTTTGTTTGCTTTCATTTTCAAAATTTGCCTGTGATTTTATTTTCATTTGGAATGTCTGATTACAGCCGCGGCAATATGGTGGAGATGCCCGTCCAGCGAAAGAACCTCAAAGATTAGCGAAACCCCCTGTTCCCCCACCCACATATATGCAGTCTATGGCAGTCAATAGCAGCAATAATGACTATTATAATGGCACTGACGGTGATCAGCCGCCGATCGTACCACCGAGGCGCAAAAACTCTCCAACGTTACAGGCAATGTCTTCATTAGTTCTTGCGGACCCTGCTTCTGGGAGACTACCCGCCCGTCCCACTCACAGATCGAACGCTCATGAATCCAGTTTATCAGGGCCAGCCCCACAAGTTCCCCCCCAGCTTTCAACTCCGACAGTCATCCACAGGCCTTCACATCATCATGAGGTACAGGATGACGACAATACACCCCCTGGAACCCCCCCTAGAAGGCCCCCGCCCCCCACACAACAAACTCATTCCAACGTAGACTCATCATCGTCAAGTCACACTCTTGTGGCAGCAAAGGATACTGTAAGACTGAATTTTAATTTTGTTTTTCAATCAATTTGTACTTGTTGTAATGACACCTGGCTAAAAGCTATGTTAATCCAATACTGGTTGTATTTTTTGTTTGAATTTATCTCATGTTTGAGCTGAAAATAAGAATTCCAGTTCAGTTTAAATTACCAAATCTTCAGTAAAATATTTTCCTAACTTTGCATTTCAGAATTTTAAATTACATTTTTTGACAAAATTCACCCATTTTTATCATCAAAGTTTAATTTTGTAAATGGCATATAACCGAAAATTTTTGAATTTGATCAAATTTTAGGCGTAAATCTTCTATGCTTCTGATTAATAACATAAAGTATTAGGATCGCAATTGCTAATTCTAACCTTAAAATTTTTCCTAGTACTTGGGTTAGCTAGTTAGTAGCCAGGCTTAATAAGATTAAAGTGGTGCTGACATTTCATATAAAACCTGGAAAACTTTTGGTGACATTTTTGTTCAAGTTATAAATCGAGCATGTTAAATACGAGATATGTGATATTAGTTTTCTTTTGATTTTTGCGAACATTTTTTTCTTTTAACTGAAATTTGAAATGAAATTTTGACCCAAAAAATTGTTGCCACATTTTAAAAACATACTTTTTATGATTTATTCTTTATTACGATTAAAAACTATCAGTGCAAACTGTTACAGTTCTTTCCATTTTTATCCGCTTTTCAGAATATTATCTGAAATAGTTTGGTAATTGATTTCTCGTTTTACTTCCAGGCGGCTCCTGTGATCAATGGACTGCCACCCACTCCTCAAGTGCATGTGAGTTCACATTCAACACATTTCTTTTTCTAAATTTGATTGATTTGTGGACCAATCTGGAAAAATTTAAGACAGTCAAAATTTCAGTTATTAAGGAATAAAAAGTCTTACAGCAAAATTTTTTGAAATATTGCTTCCACTTCCATTATGACTTTGTAAAAATAGTCATTTTATGTAAAAATGAATTATTGTCTGGCACAGGGTTGGCGTATCCAAAAAAAAATCATAGGTGTCATCTGATATTGATATCTTTCATGATTTATCAATTTCTTATTTTTTCATTTGTTCATAACTGAACATAAAAGCACTGTAATGACATGTGCTTAGATTAAATTAGGTATTTTGTCTCAAATCATACTTTAATTCATTGGATTCAATTTCAATCAGGATATAATCAATCTCTGATCTCTCAAAACTGTTTAAATGACTGTAGTGGTTATTTGAATAGGTCACTTCCTCAGGAAATATATACTTTTCTCATGTGTGACAACCATATCCAATTATATGGCATTTATACAATGATATAACGGATTTTCCCTATGTTCTAGTGTAACTTTTTTCTCATAAATAAGTCTAGGGTTTCTGATAAATAATCTAGTCTATGATTTGATTTTTAGAGCATCTACACAAATTCTGTACTTCCAAATCAAGGTTTACTGTGAAGACTTGTTCTTTTAAATGATTGCGATTGTAATCACATTACATTTTTGTTAATAGTACATTATGGTCTGATGCCCAATCACTCAATGATAAACCTTTTATTAATGATTTTAAAACATAGTCTTATTTTCAGATGGGAGCTTGCTTCACGAAAGTATTCAACGGTTGCCCTTTGAAGATAAACTGTGCATCAAGCTGGGTACGCTGGTTTTAATCTGCTACTTTCATTTATGAAAAAAAAACTCTGAAGCTTGAACTTATTTGTTTTTGACCAAATTTTTCGTTAATCATTACCCTTATCAATTATCAACTATAGAATCTTCACTGAGAATTGTGCATAATCAGGGCATTTAGTAGTTCAATGCTTTGCGTTTCTTAGGGTTAGAATTTTCTTATAATCAAACTTTGAGCATTATTTGGTACTCTTGTAGTAGCCTATGTGTACCAGGTTAAGTTTAAGCCAGGAATGGCCAATACCGAATAGTTTACTATTTCGAATACATTCGAAATTATTATTTTTGAATATGAAATTTCGAATACTTCGAAAATAAATTCAGGTAAAATAAGCTTATCTTGGTGTATCTCAGTATTTGCATACAATAAACAATGGAATAACCGTTACCTACAAGCTGGCTACCAGAAAATTTATACCCGCTGTTGACGTGGTATTTTAAAGTTATTTTCATAAAAGTAATCCTTGCGTAGGACGGCGCAACCATGAGTTAGGCTACGTTGAGCGCAATTAAATTAATACCGCAAGACATTTTAAATTCTGTTATCAGTCGTCGATTTATTAAATAAGTCAATACTTTTACCTATCATTATCAAAACTATTTGCCGGAAGTGGGTAAAAGTATAAATAATTTTTTGTGATTATGAAAATATAAATTAAAAATTAATTATATTCCGGCATTTTACCACACATATTTCCACAGATTGTCACATTATTTTAAAGTTGCAATGCTTTTGTTTTTCGTAAGTACAAAACTGGGAATCGAAAATTAATCATAATCAGGCAGTTACCACACATTTTATGTCCACAGATTGCCGCCGTATCTTTTAGAGTAGTTATGCATTAATTTATTCGTAAGGTCGACGTAACTATGAGTTACCTTAAACACAATTAAATTAATTCAGTAAGACATTTTAAATGCTGTTGTCGTTCATGAATTTAAATATTTTGTCGCAACGGAAAATTATCCTAGATAAAAGTCCATACTTTTAATTATCACTATCTAAAGTAGTTTCCTAAAAGCGGGAAATAGTATAAATTATTTTTCCGCGAGTGCGAAAATACAAATCAAAAATTAATTGCAATCGGGCAGTTTACCACACATTTTATGTCCACAGGTTGCAGTGGTATTTTAGAGTTGTAATATTATTTGTTTTTCTTAAAGACGGAAATAGGAATAAAAAATTAATTATAAATGGGGCAGTTTACCACACAATTTATGTCCGCAGATCGCCTCAGTATTGAATAGTAATACTTTTATTTTTTCGTTAGTTGACGCAACCATGAGTTACGTTAATTAAACAAAATTAAATTAATACGGTAAGGCATTTTAAATGGTGTTATTGTTCACGAATTTGAATATTTTGTCGCAACGGAAAATCACCATAGTATGAAGTCAATACTTTTTGACTATCATATCAAAATTATTTGCCAAAAATCGGGAAATAGTGTAAATGATTTTTCCTAATAAATCGACTTGTTTTTTCCGACTTGCGACAATTTATTGGGTGTCGTAATTTGTAACAAAGCGTACGACTTTATTTACCGTAACTTATTTAATATCTGACTTACTGGTAATGGATTTATGTGAGACTCGTGACTCAATACAAATGAATGCGTAAATTAGAAGCCTTGCAAGGGAATGGCAATAGTGCCAATCTCACAACCGTGCAAATGTGTTGCAACAATATGAGGCGCATGCTGGCACAGAAGATAACAAACAATTAAAGCGGCGATACTATTTCACCGTCATTACAAAACGTGGCGGCGATACTATTTCACCGTCATTACAAAACGTGACAAAGCGCGGAAAATCGTTTGAAGATTTCTCTTTAAAACGAAACGAAACTCCTTGCTGACGGCGAAAAGTGGCTATTACTCGGAATTATTCGAAAATCAGCCAAAAAGGTATTCGAATACTTTGATATTCGAATGTTTTCGAATATTCGATTCGTTTTGGACAACCCTGGTTTAAGCTATAAATTTATTTCGATTTTCCTCATTTAAGTTTTATTACAAGTTCGGGGACTGTCTGTTTTATCCAAGTGAATATACCCCCTGCCCATAGGTTTCAGTCCCTCTACACTACTTGATGTAAAGTAGGCGAACAAAATTAGTTACCTTCATATTGGTACATACACTTCTGGAACGCCGTTATTTTTACCATTTAATTTCTCAATATATTAAATATAGAATTCAAATTAAACAAAGATAGTAGTTCTTCATCTATGATTCCCCCGAAATTTTTAATTCAATATTTTGTTTTTGCTCTCAGGTTCACCCAGACACTCACGACCAATATATATTATTCGGAGCGGATGAAGGAATATATACTTTAAATCTACATGAGTTACATGAAAACACAATGGAACAGTTGTTTCCTAGAAGATGCACTTGGCTGTACGTTATCAATGATGTGCTAATGTCTATATCAGGTATGTTTTCTGAGAATTTTATGTTTAACTTCCCTCTCTTGGGATGGTACTCCTGTAGTACGTGTACCAGGTCGGAGACTGTCCGTGTTAGCCAAGTGAACATACCCCCTGCCCATAGGTTTCAGTCCCTTTACACAACTTGATGTAAAGTAGGCGAACAAAATTAGTTACCTCCATATTGGTACACATACTTATGGGATAAATATAGAAAATAATATATAATATGGTTGGACAGGTAACAATAGCCAGCTTATTTTTGTAACTCGATAAATATCACTTGAAATTTAATAGGACCTAAAAAATAATTTAAAAGATGCCTGTTTTATTGCTTCAGACCAGTATTCGAATAAATATATTAAATCGACTGTATAGGTGAAGTAGTATGGCACATCAGGCTAAGCGTTAGGAATACGCTCGCTACCGCAAACCTGATTACCGTGCAAGTTCGCAAGTTTGAATCCTGTGGGGGAATTACTGGGATCCTCGCTTCCATCAAGTTCATTCATCTGAAACAAATAACTGGGTATCTACTCCCATCCTCGATATGGACTGGTAACCGGACAGTTCGCTACATGATTGGGCTGTTTTATCAACTCTCTCTCAGGAAATATGTAAACCTTATCTTAATCATCCTGGCTAAATAATCCCATACCCAACATAGACTGGTAACCGGACGAGGTAAGCCGTGTTAGTGACTTTTCTTTCCCCCGGGATAAATATTTGAATCCAATCCTAATCATCATGGCACACAATCTTCATGGACTGGTAACCAAATGAGAGGCTGCAGTTCGCCAAATGATTAGGCCGTCGTATATAAAAATTATTGTCTTATCTTATATAAAAATCCTATCTTTTATTTGACTTTCAATTTTCTCACTGAACTTCTTTTTTTTCATAGGCAATCGTACATCACAGTTATACTCTCACAACTTAGTAGGACTTCACGATCATGCCCAAAGGAATCAGAGACTTCATTTAAACACTCATATGTTACCGGAGAGAATAATTCCAAGGTGAATTTCAATAACCTTCTCGATTTTTATACATCTGATTGCAAAATTTCAATCTAATGTTGGATCATTGTTCTGATCTTGGCTGTGATTCAGATATTCCAAATATACAACGTTTTTTATACTTTATATTCGGTTCTTCCGTAGTATGTGTACCCGGTTAGGTTTGTGTTAGCCAAGTGAATATACCCCCTGTCTATAGGTTTCAGTCTCTTTATACAACTTCTAGAGCGCCCTTTTCTGATCAAATCAGTACCAGTGGTCTAGTAATGGCCATTAACACCAATTTTATTTAAAAACTTTTTATTGAAGTCATAAGAAATCATTTCTGGAACATTTGGATTATTCAAATTAATTTTTAAATATAGGGTGTCCATAAAGTCTTAGAAATTTTTAGAATTGCGAAGAGAATTTATCGATACCATATATTGTTTTGGCCCTCACATATGTATTGAATGAAGTAAAAATACTTAATAATCTTAATATTAAATTAATTTTATTTTGAAGGAGGTTCACAGTTTCTGTCAAAGTTCCCGACACAAAGGGTTGTCAACGATGTTCTGTTGTTCGTAATCAATATAATGGTCATAAATACTTGTGTGCTGCTTTGCAAGCTAGTATTGTGTTGCTACAATGGTATGAACCGATGCAAAAGTTTCTTCTTATTAAGGTATTATTACTTTACATTGAATTTTTTATTATTTTATGCGCAGAAAATGCTGTTTTGTGATGTTTTTATGCAATACTTCCTGTCCATAATCTGCAGATAAATAGAACCTTAAGTTCATACTATTTATCAGCATGATGTTTTATGCTTAAGAAATCTGAAATTTTCATTTTTTAATGACATTAAATTTATAAAAAAAAAGCATTTTGGAAGATTTTATGATTTTCTAACCAATTTGATAAACTTCGCTCTGAAAATATGATTCTTGTGTGCAATGCATCTGTTTATTTTTGAGAAACTCAATTGTTTTGTTAATTCGTTTTAAACTCCCCATGGTTCAAAAAATCATCGCCCAAAGGACAGTTGTGTTGGGCAAGTTTTCGAAAGCCCGAATTAGAAATGTAAATAAATGGAATGTAAAATTACCACATGAGCATATAACTTGTAGATATATAATATATTATAATAAAAAGCTCGATGATATACGCCTTAATCCGGCTTTGAGCATGTGAGCCAGGGGGTGATTTTGCCGGTTGGAACCCCTTTTTGAAATCAAAAGCATTTTTCTGTATCATAAATAGCAATTATTAGCTTGAAACGCTTTTTGGACCCTCAAAACTCCAGAAAACCCACAATTTCCGCTAGCTGTCTATCTTAGCAATTAGAAATTTTAGAACCCCCTCCCCCCTTTGAATATTTCTGGCTTGTGAGCATTGTGATAATATATGAATGGAAGTGAAAATCACTATGATATTATCTCTATTGGGGGTTTAAAATATAGAGACCTATTTGAGGATTCGATATGTGGTAACCATACTATAAGTCACCATCAACTTTATTGCTTTTATAAGAAATTTATCGAACTGAGAAAGCACTATATCAGGGTGGTCCAAACCCAGGCCCGCGGGCCACATGTGGCCCGCCGTTTCATTATCTGTGGCCCGCGTCGCATTCAGAGAGGAATTAAAAAAAATCGCATTTCGTATTGTTTCGTCATAAAATTAACCAAAAAACTTTTGACATATTGTCGCATCACTATTGTCACTGAATTGACTAGCGTTATGGCTTGCTGAGGCAACTAGCGAAGTCAAACAAGCGAAGTTCTCGGCACTATTGTGGCCCGCGAACAATGCAAAAGTAATTTTGTGGGCTGCGGAGCTGCCAATCTTGGACCACTCTGTTCTATATCATTGATTTGCGCTAAATAAATAAAGTCTTTCTTTTTTTCTCAGCAATTTGAATTCCCACTTCCGCACCCGTTACGTGTATTTGAACTTCTTGTGACCCCAGATGCTGAATATCCTCTCGTATGTTTTGGTGTTAGTTTGACAAATCCAGCCAACTCAAGTGCAGGTGACTAATAATTCCAGATTCTCTGTTTCAGTTCAGTTGTAAAGTCTAGTTTTGTCTTTGAAACTAAATCTGTGAGATTTCAATCCCATGCAACATGACTATGCCTGTCTTACCAGTAGGCTGCATTATGCCACAGTGATAATTTTGGCTATAATTACAATTATATGTCAAAGTTTTTATTTTGTATGCTGGGCGCAAAACTGATTGCACTTTACGAGAAAACTCCTCATTCTTCCTAGTTTCATCGCTTGATAAGGTTATTTCACAGGGTATTTTCACTTGGTCAAGCATGAATTGTCTGAACATATTGGGACTTGGAATTTATCAATCAAAGTAACACTATAAATACCACTGGAATGATATACAGGGGGGCCATGAGTGCTAAAGGCCCTCGGGAAAGAGTTATGAATAGTTGGGAACCACTGTTATAGGGCATTTTTAAATAAATTTGTATGAAATGCATGTAGGCTCGCGTTTCATGAATATGTATACTGTGTGTAATTTAAGATTTTGATAAATATTAAGTAGAGACAATAACCCTGACACTGACTTGCACTAATTGTATTAATTTCCCCTGCAGCAAACGACATATCTTCCATGATCACACCATCGTCCTTGTTTCATTTAAACACTGTCAATTTAAACTCACAATCATCGTGGTTTTCTGATCAACCTCCTGCCGGTTCAATTAATCTCGGTGTCGTAAATGTAACACAATTGGAGAAGGATACAGTCCTTATTTGTTTGGAAAGTAAGTAAACAATTTTTGTTCAGAAAGTTCTCACTCAAATCAGGTCAAGAACCAATCCCTTGGAGTCCGCTGTGAAAATTCACAATTGATTCTTGGCTCAGTGTTGAGAAAAATTTATACTCATTATTTTAAATTGAATGTATATGTACCAAAATCGAGATAACTGATTTTGTTCGCCTATTTTACATCAAGTTATGTAAAGAGACTGAAACCTATAGTATATTCACTTGGCTAAAACAGACAGTGCACGAACTCGTAATAGAACTGAAATTTCAAAAATTGGATTAAAATTATGGCCTAATTCTAACCTGGTACACACACTACTGGAGTACCCAAAAGCATTGGCGTTTACCTGCCTCCTTTATTTTTTTTGCTGTTGTTCGGGGACTGTCTGTGTTAATCAAGTGAATATAACCCCTGCCCATAGGCTTACGTCCCTTTACACAACTTGATGTAAAGTTGGCAAACAAAATTAGTTACCTCTATATTGGTACACACACTTCTGGAGCGCCCAAGATTGTGGCTGTTGTGAATAGCAGCTTCAAACCAATGAAAAGTGAATATGGAATCCCTCATATGACATATACCACTTCCTCTTGTTCTGTTACCATTCCATGTCTTGCATAGCTATAGATAGGCAAGTATTCATATCAAGGCATAGACTTGATGGTAGAGGAAGTAAGGTGGAAATCCTCCCACACATCCTTACAACCAATAGAATTCAAACCTGCAAACACATGCAGGGTAATCAGAGGTGCAATGGCATAATGCTCAGCTTGGTACGCCATATCTGAAAATTACATTTTAATTCAAACTGAACCATTTTTTTTTTTTTCTTCAGAGGATGTAAAAATCATTAGTATGGCTGGTCGACTGAAATCAAGTAAGAAGCTTGCTTCAGAATTGAAGTTTGATTTTGCAACAAAGAATATTGGTGAGTATCTATTGCCATCTCTTTTGCAAAAATCTCCAGGAGTAAATTATAAGCTGAATAGTTAGATATTAAAGACAGGGATGTCCAAAACCAATCGAATATTTGAATACATTCAAAATTCTTTATATTCAATATAGTAAATGTTTGAATCTAGAGGTAATTTTGAGCTGTCAGACAAGTTCAAAGTGTGCGATATCTCAACTGGTAAGAAACAACACTAAGAAAACAATGACTTTTAAACATATGTTGTTTCAAATGTGATCAACATGAACATATATTGGTTTATGTTTATTATTATTTGTGTGATTTATTGATATTGACGTCGTCAGAATTCTTCTGAGAGTACAAATTTCAAATCTTTAATGTTACAATCAAAATTGTGACCGAAAGTCAAAAAGCATACAGTCTTTTATTATTTTCAACAGACCATATATGAAAGCCTTGCCTGCACCAAAGTTGCTGTTCTTTTGAGCAGTGTATTGAACTGCCTAAATCTTTACTTTTTATCTTTGTATAGTTTGTCTGCAAGACAGTGTGCTAGCTTTCCATGAGCATGGTATGCAAGGAAGAAGTTTTCGTAATAATGATGTCACACAGGAGATTTGTGATAGAAGTAGAATATTCAGGCTGCTGAGTTGCTACAGGTTAGAATTGAACTCTTTTTACTTTATCTTTTGTTTGGTTGTTTGGAAAATGCCATTAGAATAATGGATAAGCCTTTTGAACTTTAAAATTATTATTGGGGTTCACTCCATTTGAGTCCTTGTGTCCAATGAAAGTAAACACAGGTTGTATACAAGAATGCTTCAAATTCTAAAATCTGATCTAAGTCTAATGGGGTTTTTAGCACTCCTGTTCTATTACAAATTTAAGGATCTGAATAAACAGGTATACTTGCCGGATTTTCTGGTTCATCTTTAAGTTGTTGAATTAAATTGATTGTGTGAATGGTTTAGAGTTATTACTTATCGATCTTAAGATCGGTAAGTATGTTGATAGGTAGTTGTCTGTTTGTTTGTTTGTCTGTTAGATACACGCGATATCTCACAGAAGCGAGTTTGAATCTGCTTCAAATTTTGCATGTGCATTCATCATATCTCGGATCAGGAGCCTACTGATATTGGATGAATTATGTCATATAATTAGCGAGTTATTATTTAATTAGTGATGGGACATGTGGTGTCACTATAAAGTCATGAATCGAAACCGCAGTTTCATTCGATAAGTCTTCAATCTCCGACCGATATTCTCGTTTTTATTTAAATTGCTTGTTATGGTCATTTCTGTAAACTGTTTGTAATTTCTCTGATGTCAACATCTATAGTAGGATCTAAGGATGTCCCTTTAACTCCCTAATAAGCTCTCCTCGGGACTTTGCTTTCAGCAACTCAAAGCAAAGGTGCGTCTTCGATATGTTTACCCCAAATTTTTTTCTGCTACAGTTTGTGAGGAATATTTCATTTTGCAAAATAATTTGTAATTGGTTTTTTGCTTTTGTTTTTTATTCCAGAGTAATCGTGTTGGAAAGCAAGCCTACAGACAATCCTAAAGATTTGTCAAATTTATATATTTTGGCCGGACACGAAAGTACAGGAAGTGGGGCTAACTGAGGTGTGAAACCTAGGATTCAGTATTTGAGCCTAGGTTCAGGAAACACGTGGATGCCGCTCGCCAGCTTTTGGTCAATGCTGCGGTACCATGTTATATCACATTCAAAAGTTGTAGTCAGGGCATGCCGTGTCTTTTTACCAAACAATATAGAGGGTTTTCACAACATCGCTGCAGTAAATTTATTCCCCTTTTTCCCCTATTTCACTACAACTAGACTCTGTAAATTTATTCGAAACGAGAGTTAACATACCAAATAACTTTTTTTAAGGTAAATTTCAAAATTTAATTTGAATTCAATTTGAGCTAGACTAGTTGTGACATTTGAAACTCAAATACAAATTAGACTAAAATTGTATGTAAAAACATCTTATTCAGACAATTCAAGCGAACTTTCATGCTGTAAGACTATTTCTGCAGTCAAATGCACAACCAATTTTGTGATTAATTTTTAAGCTTTTTTCTGTTAATCTGCTATTTTTGTGGTATATATATATTTAACGTCTTCCCCGAAACGTATTTATGAAAGCCGGTGACGCTGATCTTGTTCTGACTACTTTTTTGATTTTGTCTATGTGATTGCGCTTATGCGATTTGTTGTTGTTTTTAAATTAATTGTACAATTTTGATCCCAAATTGATATTTATATCATCTGCACATTTGCAATATCACTTCACTTATCGCCGTTGTTAAAAATAATATTCTTTTAAATTTTGTGAATGAAGTTTATTTTAGCGTAAAAACAGAATCATTGGCTTATCACATAATACAAACTAAGAGGGCAAATTGGAACTTGATGCCGTAAAATTTAATTTGGTTGACCGAAGCTTTTTCTGACAATTATTAGAGGAGGTTCCATGTTTTTATATTGTTTAGCTTTACAGAAGGTTGAAAGACAAATTTGGTAATCCTGCAGTGTATGTACCAGGTTAGGGTTAGGCCATAATTTCATTCGTATTTCCCTTATTTTAGTTCTATATGAGTTCGGGGACTGTCTGTGTTAGCCAAGTGAATTTACCCCCTGCCCATAGGTTTCAGTCCCTTTATACAACTTGAACAAAATTAGTTTTCTCCATATTGGTACATACACTTCTGGAACGCCCTAAATTTGAGCCGCTATCTCAGATATATGTCCTGTTTTCGCTCTTTTAAATTAATCAGTCTCATTTCATTTCTAGAAAAGTGCAATGAGAGTGAAGTTAAATATTTTTACGTAGGTTTTGAAAACGTTTAAAAGAAATTAAATTTTCCATTTTTTCCTAAAACTTTAAATCTATTGACTGATGTTGTAAAAATTTCCTCTATATTTAAAAATTATTTTGAATATGTTGAAGGTTTGGCATCATAGATTTGGATGCAGATTTTCAATTTTGCTTTTTTAAATAGGGAGTGTTAAAACTATGTATCTTCGGAAATCGGTAGTATTGAACGCGTAACTGGTAAGAAATAAACAACATAGTCCAGCCGTATTGGCTAAGTATTTTTTGTTGCTTCGTGTGCGGGCCAGATGCGTTCTATCCGGCCATTATGCAGTCATTTGTGTCCGTTGAAATTACACTATGACTAAAGTTTTTTTGGGTATAAAATTCTGTTGAAAATATCGATGGAAATAACGTCATAATGACCCCGATTGTTACATTGTGCTTCTTATTATTAAATAAACGTTTGCCTAGCTGTTGTAAATAAACTAGTTTCTAGTTTTTCATATTGAGTTTTGAACCTCCAGCCCAGTAACCAATTCTATTATCGGAAACTGTCCCACTCAGAAAAGTAATTGCCCACCCCCTGCACTATGGGAAACTGCTGGCAAAATGTTCGAATTAAATTATAGAAATAGTATGCTTTCAATTTTCAAAGCGAAGTTTTTAAAATTTCATAAAGATGCGTTTTTTAGTTCCACAAAAAATTTCTTTTGTCATTCAAGCTTTTCTCGAATTCTCCTTGTTTATTTGTCTCCTTCCATGCTTAAATCAGTCGGTTTTTATTTGTTTAATCGAAATTCAATATAACCAGAAATTATAACATTTGTATTGCTATATGCGGACTGTTGTAGCAAAATATTTGGATATTTAATGATTTCCTAATGTATATGCTTTCTTGTTAGGCGGCTAAAATTTTCCTTCAGAATTGAGTCATGCGTAGGGCTGTGGTCGCACCCAAACGCAGAGTCATTCAAAACAAAAAACTAGACTCCCATTGACAAAAATTTTCACTCTTAATCGATTCTCAGCTTCAGTTTCTATACGGGCAACGTTTTGCTAACACTGGTTGTGTTGTATATATCCTCGTAAATCTTCGGTGTATATAACGTAAATATACGTCGTTCCAATCATGCGCTCTCTTTTTGTTTGAAATTTTGACTCGCATATCACCATAACAACTAGAAATTCCATTCCTCATAGAATTCAAAGTTTCAGATTTTTGGGTTGAAAATATGACTCCATATCTGATTCAATTTCAATTAAAACTTGCTCAAATCCGACTCGAGATTTCGACACCACAGCCCTGACCATGTGCCGAAAGCGTAAAATTGTTTGGTTTCTCAAAAGATTCTGTAGATGAGAAAGTTGGAAATTATTGAGCAAAAATTTTCTTCATGTGTGCCATCTTGTGTCCACATGAATACATATTTATTTTATCTGGAACCGTTTTTAAAATACAAAGTATCTTCGTCTGATTTCATCTGTACTTTGTGCGTTTATAAAGTCTAGGTTTTTTAATTTGTTTCACCTATTTTCATGTGTTTCTTGCTGCGTTATAGGAAAACTATATTCCTCTGTGATGTACCTTGCTCAAGTTGTTGGGAACAAAGTTTTTAGTGGCTTTCTTTTTATTCTGTTTGTATATAGAGTTACTGCTATTCTTCTTATCATTGCTAATTATTATTGAATTTATATGCGGGAATTTTTGTTTGTGTATTCTATTTTTCAGTTCATATCACAGCTGGACCTATTTCCCAGCAATACATCTAGATGGACTGAAATTTTTACGCATTCGGCTCTATGGTTGGATAGTTATGATGTTATAATGGTTTACCAGACTAGTTTACTGTTTTAATAGAGAGATTCATGTTTTTACTTATAAAATTCCCGAAGGATTTGATGAAAAATGCCCTATTTTTTCTCATTTGTTAGCTTATTAAGGTCCATGGTCGAATTTCAAAACAAATGAAGCAGTTACTGATGATTATCCCTTCACGAATGTTTAATAAAAGAAAAACATGCCGAAATTGTCATTGAAAGCAATATTATTGTTGCGCAATACCAACTAATTATTGCGTAATTGCGTTGTATTTTGTTTAATTACGTTTAATTAATAAATGAACAATGGAAATCGTTCGTATTTGAGTTCGTGGTTAGGCTTCAAAGGGCATGTTTTACAAATAAGTTTACTATATGTTTCAAGCAATTCTATCGTGCGAAGAAAATTGACACCTGGATGCTAGGCTTGCACGTAATTTATGGAATTATTTCGAGTTACGGAAACGAAGTTACGAATTACGTAAAGTCGTAATTATTGGTCGAGCGCTTTCGCGATTGAAACGAGCTCTCTTCAGAGCAGTCAATTCCTTCGATTGTAAAAAGTTAAAGTTTAAGTAAAATAAGTTAGAGTTCCGGTATTCGCAGCCGTTTTTTTCTCTCTTGTTAGGCAGATGGGGAAGGGATAACGCGTCATTTACTAACTTATTATCAACTTATCTAGGATGGCCAATGTACATATTAACCGTAGATATGGAATAGAATTGTGTTGAGACCGATGGACGTCAACACACCTGGTTCCAACTTCTTCGGGTGAAATGACTAAAGAATGTAAGAGATCAACTTATAAAACATGGTCTATTTGTAAATGCCGTGATAATTAATGTCGCGCTTATCAAGCAGCAATATAAAGACGGAAGAGAAATTGCGTAATGAACCAACGCAACTTAGTTTTTTCGGCATCGGTAAAGCGATTGAGACGGCAGAGAAACAACAATACAACGGGATTTCCCGTGTTTATTCTGCGCGAGATCCATTTTCTGTTACAAAATCTTGATGTTCTGTTACCGATTTTATCGTTATATATCTGTCCGGACTTGGCATTGCTCAATATGTTTTTCACAATGCCTCGCAATATGTCGGCCAAATATGATTACCTGTCTTTACCAAATGCGGCAACTTATTTTGATTTACCGTCGACTCGAATACCACTGATGCGCAAATGATTAATATTTGATCTAAATTTATCGCAAATAATGTTATAACTTTTAGGCCGCGAAATGATTTAATGTAAAATGAAGCATGGAATTCGGAATATCGTCAATAAGTCGGCATCAATAATTATTATAAAATGCTAACTAAGTAGTAAAGTCGGATATTGTAAAAAACGGTGAAATAACAAGTCTTCGTCCGTCGCGAGGCAAGCGAGAGTATAATCAAACGAGAGAATACGCTTGTAGTTGATAAATAAATTAGCAACCCGGAATTTTTATTTAATACGAAAGTCGTATTAATACGTTAATACGATTTTAAAAAAGTGATCTATCGTTTCTTAAATATATTACCAGTGTTGGTAATGATAGAAATGATCGCATAAAATTTGGTGATAAAGTGAATAAAAAAAATCAAAGCTAATACAAAAGATAAAAATCAGAATAAAATTATTTTGAATTCACTCCTTGATATTTGTCTTTAACGTCTGTCGCCGGCGTGTAGTACTGCCGGGAATATGAAAACCTAACTTCGATGTCCCATTCGGAATAAAAGTGGATTAAATTGGTTGTTATGATAGGTTTAAATGTGTGGAAAAAATATCGCAATTACGGGGTCATTACGTAATCGATTTGGCCGTAGTTACGGAATTGATTTTTGTCAATTACGTGCAAGCCTACTGGATGCATTACCTCTAGGTCTCACCACTTTGGTTGACAAAGTTTCAACTAAAAAATATTGACTATGAAATGACCGGCTTTCCACACATGTCGATAAACCGTAGTATATGTACCAGGGCAGATACGTATTAGGGTTGGGCCATAATTTATTCTGACTGTTTGTGTTAGCCACGTGAATTTACCCCCTACTCAGGGGCGGATCATGCCCCTTTGGTGCCCTAGACACTGAAGACTTTGGTGCTCCCTTATGTGTATTTTAAATTAGAAAAGCAATAAATTATCCATCAATAATAATCACAACCAACAGTAAGTAAAACAACTTTTACGGACATTTTTACTTTTTTTAACGATATATCGGTTGAGCTCCAATCCTGAGGAATTTGACGATGAAGATTTATGCGTCCAGTCTTTTGAGGAGGTCTCGCGGGCCGCAGTCGGAGAAATTCCAAAAGTGATCGAAATATCGTGAGTTTACTTACAATTCGAGTTTACAGTTCGAATCGGCCTATTTTTATGTTGCATGGGTGAGCCTTCAGTTTTTTTTAAATTAATTACCGAGAATTACTGTTGTATTTTCGCGTTTGGGTTTGTAATGTCACTTCAAATTATATTCGTTCGTGACAGATATCACTTGAAA